TTAAAAGTTTTCCAAGTGATTCTGATATTCAGCCAAAATAACAACCATTAGGCTGAAATGAAGCTTTTTACTGGCATTTCCTACTGTGGAAAATAATGAACATCACTAAAGCCTGAATAAATCAGGAAAAAAAAAATGGGGGTAAACCAAATGCCAAGGTTTTGCACAGTCTTAGAAGTCATCATTGAGGTTTTATGGGCTTGGGGGACAAATGGGGGTGTTGAAACAGGGTGTTGCTGTATACTTCAGGCTGGCCTTGAACTCAGAATAATCCTCCGTATCCCGAGGGCTGGGATTATACACATGTACCACCACACGTTGGCAAGGTTTTGTGTTTTTTTAACCTAATGTGAAAGAATACTAGAAGACTTGAAGGAAAAGGAGAACCATGATTTGACTTTCAATTTAAAAGAATCACTGTGGCTGCTGTGTTAAAAATGGGTGGAAATAGCATGGAAGGTAGAAAAACAAGTTGGAAGGCTATTGTAGTATTTCAAATGAAAGATGGTGTTGCCCTATAACAATATGGGTGCACCGTGGAGAAAGCTAAAAAAAATTTTTTACTCACTGAATACTTACTTAAGGGTGATTTCAAAGTTTATGGCTAAAGCAAATGAGTAAACAGAGCTGCTATCAACTAAAATGACCCAAGAATGAAGAGAAGCAAGGAAAAAGAATCAAAGTTCAGTTATTTTGAGATGCTTATTAGCTATCTAAGGGAAGATAAAATCTAAAATTCAGAGCAGTTCAGGCTAGACATATGTATATGGGAATCATGAGCACAGCAGATATTAAAGTCAGGAACCTGGATGAAGTTATCTGGAGACAGACCTCTTATTTAGAAAAGGACTGACCCTTAGGACATTCTACTTTGAAGAGTCAGATTGGAATAAACTTACAAAAGAAATTTAGAAGGAATAGTTGATGACATAAAAAAGGAACCTAAAAATGGTCTCTCAAAAACAAGGTTAAGAAAACTATTAAAGAAGGAAACAAATGAATTGTGTCAAATATTACTCAATAAGATGAAGTCTGAGAATCGGCTATTAGATTGAAAAATGTAACAGTCAACAATAACTTTCAAAATGGCAATGTAATGGAGGACCGTGAGGATGAAGGGACGATTGGAAGGCATTTAACATGTAAAAATAAACATGGTAACCCTCCCTTTCAAGTTTTGTTCTAAAGAGAAGAGGAAAAATAGGATGGTGGAGAAATCCTACTATTTTAAATCAAATACCCTATCATGCCTTTCAGAAGCATATTAGACTTGTGTGAAAAAGTAATCATGTGGAACTGCTGTTTGTTAATGTACTCTACAATTTTCAAAAAATAAATTCAATATTTAATGAAGTATTCCAAAAACGGGCTACCTCTCTCACCCTCTTTCCCAAATACCTGTTCATGGCCTGGATCTTCAGACCTTCTTCAATGCTATGACTGAGTGCCTGCTGATTATTGTGCTTGTTGATCCTGGCTAATACTCTTTCTTGATGAGCTTCATACTCATCACGACTTGGATAAATTTTGCTGATGAGTGCATCAAAGTTTGGGTCTGGCCTTAGTGATCTTTTGGAAACTAGTTTTTTCCGACAGGTAGGGCATTCTTTGTTGCTAAATGAAAAGAGAAGGAAAGAAAATGTAAATGACGCCAGTATCTTTAGAATAAAAACAAAATTATCCAACTTCTACATAGTTACCATCTGAAGTCACAGAAATTTTAAATGATTAACCTGAATCTCCTTAAATCTCTGATAATTTTACCTGAAAGGTTTTGCCAACCTCAGATATTACCACTGCCAAAAGAGAAAACATTATAGATACTTCTCAGTGGTAATTTATGCACAACCATTTTAGAAACCAAAATCTCTTCTTTCTTAAATTTTAACTTCCTCTTTCTGATATCCACACCACACATGGAAAAACTACTATTTATATGCTATCAATTTTCTTACTGGAATAATACTTTCTTTCTTTCTTTCTTTCTTTCTTTTGTCTTTTTCCTTTTTATCGGTACCGGGGATCGAACTCACGACTGCCTGCTTGCAAGGCAGGAGCTTATGCCGCTGAGCTAAATCCCTAGCCCCTGGAATAATACTATCTTAAGAATGCTATTTTACATACTTCAACTCCAGAGAGCTACCTAACTGTCATGCAACAATCTAAATAACTAATATAATTCATTTCAACATACCCACTTCTTAGGGCTGTGATAATACAATCTGCACAAAAACGGTGCAAACATTCCTTTGTAGTCATAGTGTTCTTTAACATATCCAAACAAATTGGGCACATTAATTCGCTGTGTAGACTTCTAGGTGAAACCACAATTTCCAAACCATCTGTTATTGCCTCCTGTAAAAGGATAAGATTCACTTTAAACTAAATGCTATATTATTTTTTATTACGCAAATTCAAATATATAATATCACTGAAAAATAGTAAAAATGAACATGTGCCATTACCCAGCCACCACTCTTGTCAACTCATAGCCAAACTTGTTTTAGTTGTAATCTTTTAACTCCTTATAACCCCATCACCAATACAATATGTAAATTCTTATTTTAAAAGTAAAGACAACATTAATGTAGTAAAAGATAAGTGGGACATTATCCTGATATTATGAATTTAAAAAAACACTGAATTTGGAACCATGTGCCTTGATAATTTTAGTAATATTAATTAGCTTTGTGGCTCTATATTACCACTGTTCTTTTATATGAAAATGATAGTTTAGATTAAGTGAACTCTAAGAATTCTTTCACCTTCAAACATTACATCATTCTGACAAATTATATGTTTTATGCCGCCCATTATACTATTTTAGGCTACTAGAAAAGTACTTTCTAATTGATTAACAGAAATTCACTTTAAAATCACTTTTGAACCTCATGAAGTCTTGCTCCACAAAGCTACTTTATAAGAAATGGTTACGTTCTTAGGTTAACCCACAAACAGATTTAAAGCATAGCTCATCTGAGATATAACATATATTACTGTATATCTAAGTGTCCTTAAAAATATTTCTCTGTACCAATGTTTCTGGAGTTCCAATGTAGAAGTCCTTCTGTTGCCAGGGAGCCCTACTTGTTTTACCACCACCAGGACTCATGCCTTCACACGTGTGGCACTGAGAACAAAGATCATTAACTCCAAAACTTCTGATACTGCCTCCTATGGACTAAGGAGAGTTCTAGTGCTAGTATATTGAAAAGAGGTAAAGGTGTAAGTAAGGGATTTCTAATATGCTACCTATATTTTCCATTTCTACTGGCTCTCCATTACATTTGTGTTTTCTTTTTTTTTACTTTTTTCATCTGTTTCGTTTTTTAATCAGTACCAGGGATCGAACTCACGACTGCCTGCTTGCAAGGCAGGTGCTTATGCCGCTGAGCTAAATCCCCAGCCCACATTTGTGTTTTCTTTAACATACTGAAAGATCAATTATTCCACAAGAAAAGACATAGAAATTATAGACATTGACCACAGAGAACGCAAATAAAATATATGCACATTTACAATGACAACCAACACTATTATGAAATGACTATTGTATTTTTTACTTCACAATAAAGCATTTTCAGTATTTTTATTTTACTTGGACAAGCTTACTTTTTCCTTTTACTGTTTTTAAAATAGAACTCTATTTCTGACTGTCATATAGACTATAATATTTATAGGGGTACATGACATTTTAATAAATGTATACAATATGTAAAATCAGTAGCTGTTACATCTATCATAAGTCATTTATCTTTGTGTTGGGAACACTCCAAATTCTAAGATTCAAATGTATGATTTAGGAATTATAGTATCTATTTTATAGGTAAAGAAACCTATCAGTGACTATGACAACCCACTTGGATTTCTAACAAAGTTCAACCCTAGCTAAACCAACCACCTATGCTTTCAAGTCTGTGTTTCTATAGGTGTGCAGTATTCTGTAGGAAAAGGGAAACCAGATTGGCACCACCAAAAAATTCCACCAGCCTCAAATGGGTATTATAACACTGCTTAGCAATTGGTTAATATAACAAATTCACTTCTCCTTCCTCTAGCCCGTTTTATACCTTTTTCTCTGCAAACGTTTTACTACCTGCCACAGATTACCTAATACTGTTTTTCATTATGTCTCCATTTCCTCTTTAGCAAATCTATAAAATAGTTTTCTATTTGTTTTAAGGAGAAAATATATCTCTTCCTATCAAACGTACATTCCTTTGTTCCTTACTGAAGAAGTCTCTCTTTGATTTTATTTGCTCTCACGTTTTAGCAATCTTTCCTTCTCTATTATCAGTCTAAGATATCAGTATTTCAATAAGGTACTACACACGGAAATGTACAGGGTATGGGGAAAATGGGGCACTCACACAGAACTGGGAGCTTCTTAATTCTGCATTTCCCTCCAGGATTTTGCTCCATTTCTCTGCTCCCCTGTGCAGTCAAACTTCTCTAAAGAAGCCCCTATATTCTTTTTTCACTTCTCTCCAGTACATATAATCATTTCCTTGGTTCATGATATGAACCAATGATGAAAATACATTATGACTCCAATTTTTAACCCAGTACAATCTACTCAAGTGAATCTGTTCTCATAAGGTAACCAAGTATAAATACCAACTCTAATAAACACTTTCCTAATCTTCATTTTATTTCAGCTTATCAGTACTTTTGAACAAATTAATTCTAGCCTCCTTCCTGAAACACTTTCTTTAGATTCTGAATGCCTCTTCCCCTCTTCCCTCCACCCCAATCTCCTGCTTTTGTCTCTGGATGTTCTTCTTAGCTGCCTTCACTGGTCCCATTTACTTGGTCCATTACCTAATTTCTAAATGTTTAAGCACTTCTAAATGAAGTTTGCAGTTCTGTTCCAGTTCTGTAGTGATCATTCCTATTGCTTACGATGTGCCAACACCTAAAATTTTATGGTTAGCCCAGACTCTAGCCAGCATCTCTGTCTGCTTGCTCTTTTACAGGTATCTCAAGCTTAAAATGAGCCCAGTTTTAAGCATATTTGCCTTCAAACCTCTCATCCAGTTTATGGCATCTTCCTCAAAACAGTCTTCTCTAGTTGCCCCATTACTACTTATTACAGCACAATTCAACATATGTGACTTTATGGCTATTTACTTGATGTCTGTATACTCAATGGAATAAAGTCACATTTGTTTTATTCTCCACTGTTCATCTTCTAGTGCCTAACAGAGAGACTTGTATGGCATATAAATTTTTTTGTTGAAACAAAGAATAAAGTGTTACTTAAACAAACTTAATTGTGACTCACAGTGCTTGTTTTAAATGACTGTTATTTTAAGTTCCCATTTTTTGTATCTCAGTTCACATATATTTCACATTTCCCAGATTATTTTAATCTATATTACCTGAGGTGTTCGTTGTAATTCGTATAAACTCAGTTCCCATGTTTTGCTTAGTGGCTGAGTTCCATTTGTCTGCACAGCCTGAGACATTGCTAGGAATAAAAAGGCAAAAATAATATTAATATTTGACAGAGAAGTACTATAGTCTGAATGTATGTACAGCCCCAAAACTAGCATTCCAACTTTTGGGCCTCAGAAAACACACATCAAAATATACCACTTTCAGGCAACCCACTTTTTGGGTCCCCTTCCTGTCCCTTTTAGACAGAAACTTTCTTTCTCTCAATAAATTCTTTCTATTCTTAACCTCCATGGTTCCTAGATTTCACTCCTCAACTTTAGAGAACATGAACTTATTGTTTCAGATATCTAACAGGTACAACAAAACCCTGGGTCCTATACATACTACCAATACGAGAAGACTGAAAGGTGGACAGAAGAAAAGAGACTGGCAAGGGACTGTGGAACCCAAAGAATCACAGAGCTGAGCTCCAATTTCTCTATGTCTAGAATACCCAGACTGAGTGCCAGAGAAGCCATGGACAAAAGCAAGCCCAACAAAAGCCACTTTTCACTAGCCAGAAGACTAGAGAAGGGGCAAACTTTCAAGACAGAAAACTTACAGATGAACATGGTACTGCTTTAGCCAACACCACAGAAAAGGCTGAGTTAGTTTAGCCAGGTTAGCAAGAATCCTCTTGCCCACACACCTAGCCAAGTTCATCAGTAATTTTCCACAAACTATAAGTTCCCACTGGCATGTTGTATTTGGGTTGAATTCAATCTCTCTCCCTTACTGCAAAAGTCCTGAATAAATTCTTCCCATATTAAAAAACAAAGTAGCCAAGACAGGCAAGGGTTTTTCTAAAGTTCCTTTATCTATCTAAAGACTAGTTCTATCAAAGAAGAACTTAACTACTCTCCAATATTTTAACTAAAATTTCATTAACCAAGAAGGAATAAACTCATATGACAAACAACAACCTAAAAAATCAGACACCACATCTACATCTCAGAACTTTTGTTCCAGACCCTTGTCTATTTAGCTCCATTCTCTCCACCTAAAATATCATTTACTATCCCTCTACAATTGCCGATAACTTTTTTTTGGTACAGGGGATCAAACTCTTGTTCTGCAGGCAGTTATACCGCTGAGACAGATCCCCAGACCATACAACTGGTGATAGCTTTCCATCTCACCTTTCCCTATGAAAAGAGAACCATCTGGTCCTTCATTTAAATTCCATATTTGGTTAGCACTGGTCCCCAATCTTTCTGGTCTCAAGGACTTATTTGGTGGAAGGCAATTTTTCCACACACAGAAGTAGGGGTTGAGTTTAATTTTTATTTGTTATTAGTATATGTTTGTGAAACATAATTATGCTTTCCAGCCCTAGCATCACTGCCTCACCTCCACCTCAGATTCTCTGGCATTAGATTCTCGTAAGAAGCAAACAAGTTATATTACTCCCGCGAATAGTAGGATTTCTGCTCTTAAAAATCTAATGCCACCTCTGATCTGACAAGTAGAGCTCAGGTGGTAATGCAAGCAATTGGGATTAGTAATAAATAGAGACAAAGCTTCACCAGCCCCCTCTCTGACCCAGCTGTTGGGGATTCCGGCGTTATATGGCACTTGTATACAATAAACTTGGATGCTTTTGTCTCTTTAATTTGCCTCCTGTCTGTTTCAGAAGACTCAAATTACTGAATCTTCAGAAAAAAAAATTTTAAGTTTCCCTGAAAACCAATGCAAATGTTAAGAGATGGGGTCCTTAGAAACTGACAAAGTCATGAGTGATTAGTGTACTTTTGTGTGTGTATGTGTGTGTGTGTTTTATTAAAGGAGAAAAAGAAAAAAAAAAAAAACAGAAAAAGGGTACCAGTTATAGAGAATCTCAGAAAAAATAAACAGTAGGAAGTCACTAGTCAATAGATTACATATTGTTACTTAGAGATAGTTCAAGTTACAAAATTAAAGCATATAAAGTGGACTTTCAAACAGTGAGTCTGGAAACAGTTTTGTTCAAGGATCCAACAAAACTCAGTAATACAGTTATCTACCTTATACACTGAAATATATATGCAGTTATATCCTTTAGAGCACTTTCTTTTCCTTTCTTTTGTACAAGACAATTACACATTTTGGGTTTTATTACTCCCACAGTTCTTATTACTTTTTTTTGAAGAGAGTAAAACCAAATGTGACATAACAGAACAGAGTCAGTCAAATCAAAAGGATGGACATAATAGATAATGTAAAAACAAAATACAAGGTGAACAACAATGGTTACCATACTGCCTCTTGCTATCTTAAAAAGAATTGCCTATATCATCTGTTATGATAAAATTAAACAAAACAGTAAAGAATAAAACCAAAACATTGGAGACATTACAGGACTTTAAAAGAAGATAATGGTCAACCAGAATGGGCATCATAAGGAATCTTATTGTCTTTACAGTTTTGCCTATACTTTCGAACTTGGTACTATCAAGCAAAGTAGAATAGAGAAAAATCAGTCAAAGCAAGATGGTGAGGGCTATACAGGGTTTCAAATCAAGTTAATAGGAAATCAAAGTGGGTTACTATAATGTATCCTGCTATTTTTAAAAATTTTTCCCTTAATTAAAAAGATAAAAATAAAAAAGTAAATAATTAAAGAAAAGGAGACTGAGATAAAAGAATGCATAACAACAAAACAGGTCAAAGCATAACCGTTTAAACAAAATAGTGTTTCACCACAAGACATCCTGACATAAAAGTAGTTACCACAGTGTCTCTTTCCTTGAAATCTTTTGAGTATAACTTCGTATACTCTAACATCAAACATATAAAGACAATGTAAAACCATTCAAGAGAATGACAGTATTACAGGGTATTTAGAACCGCCTATCAGAAAATGAACAATGGTTTTTGTATAATCTACTTGTCTATAAAAGTTTTTGCTTATATTATCACATATAATAAAACCCAATAAGATACAACCTGTTAAGACCAATGGAGACAGAAGAATAAAAGCTTGATGGGACTTCAAAGCAAGATGATACTAAATCAGCACTAGCTATTATGATGTCTTGTTTTCTCCAAAATAGCTGTTCCTACCATCCAATCTTCTCTGCCTCATTTCTTTTTGAGCTCTTTTTCTGTTGTTTGTTGTCAGTTTGTCTTCTTCATTTCCCTTTCTGCTCCATTCACTGTGGCCTCTCTGCCACTGTTCTGAAGTCTTGGTATTTTCATTTTTTGGAATATCCTGCAGTATTCTCTGTAGAGTTGAATTGGTGGTTGCAAATTCCCCTAGTTCCTCTTTATCCTGGAAGCACCTTGTTTTTCCATCAATTTCTAGGGACAGTTGTGCAGGATATATCAATCTTGGCTGGAGGTTGTTATCTTTCAAAGCTTGAATTATTTCCCCCCGCGCTCTTTGTGATTTGATGGTTTGTGCTGAGAAGTCTGCTGTAATTCTGATGGGTGTTCCCTTGTAAGTAATCTGTTTCTTGTCTCTGATGGCTTTTAATATTCTGTTCTTATATTGGATTTCTGGAATTATGATTATTATATGCCTTGGTGCAGCTCTGTTTGGGTTGTAGGTGACTGGGGTCCTGTATGCCTCATACATCTGAGTATCTTTACCATTTTCTAAATTAGGGAAATTCTCTTGGATTATTTCTGTGAATAGCTTTTGTAGTCCATTTGTTTGTGTCCCTACTTCTTCTTTTATGTTCTTAATTCTTAACTTATAGATCCTCTTATCATCTTCTAGCCTTTGTATTACTGCTGTTTGTTTCCTTGTTATTTTTAAGAAGTTTTTCATTTCATGCTCCCACATTACAAATCTGCCCTCCAATTCAGATAATCTATCCTTAGTTTGTTTCAAACTGTTATGCCAGTTTTCAATAGAGTTTTTAGTTTCCTGGTAATCTCTTTGAACCTGCTTCACGTATTCTATGTTTTCTCTATTTTCTCCATCAAACAATTCTCCCCTTTTTTTCTGTTCTTCCATTCCACCATCGGTTTTTTCTTGGGCGGTGCTTAGCATTTCTCTAACTATTCTACTTATATCCTGCTTTATTTCATTAAATACTTCATTTTTAAACTCGTCTATGAGGCTCTAGAGATATCGCTTTATGTCTATTGGTGCCGTGTTTGATATTGCATGTTTTCTGTCTTCCTTTGCGTTTCTTTTTCCTGGATCAGTGTTCTCAGGATTGGGGACTGAGGACCATTTCTTGTTACTTCCTCTTCCCATACTTTTTGATCCTTCCATACAAGCGAATGTAGGAGGCCCAATTTTTTTCTCCTTTTCCATTATAGTTTGTTTGAATTGCACCAGCTAGGTGTTCCCGCCCACTGCAGTGTACAAGGGAGACACAGACCTGTGCAGCCTCTACTGGACCCGCCCCTTCAGGTCAACCTACTAAAGGTTTCACCGCTAAGGTACACCTCCAGGCACTGGAACCTGGTTTGGCCTAGCCTACTGGGTCGTAGTCAGTGGCATCACGCAGGCCAGGCACTCCCCACCAATCCCGCTTGAGAGGGGAATATGCCACTAATGTCACTGCAGCACCCTGTTCCGGCAAGTCTGCCCGGTCCCAGTATGTGCTTTGCTGGAACCTCCTACTCTATGAAAGGGTCCCCTTCCACTCACTCACCACAAGTTGATGCAGGGCTCCCTGCTAGTCCTGCTCTCAACTCCGTTCGCAGATTCCCGCTCTCAGAGCTTTTGCGTGTCTCTCTCCCTGCCCTGCAGATCTGGACGCAGCAGCAGCAGCAGGAAATTCAAATCGCGGCTTCCAGTGGTGTGGGTTCTAGCTTCTGCGCTGAGATTTTATCTGTTCCTATTATAGCACCAGGATTGGATTTCCAGTTGGTTTCTCTTAGCTTAGTTCATTCCTGGGTCGACAAGGTGTATCTCCCCTTGCTTAGGACTCCTCGTACTGCACCATTCCTGGATTTTAAGTGGAGTATCTCAGCCTCCATAGCTGCTGCTATCTATCTGCCATGTTCTCAATTAGTGTACTTTTAAAATATATTTAAGGGAGCTACTTTGCTCTTCCATGATATAACAATACACCCAAGGTGCCGTTCAAAAGA